GCCCTATCCAGACCGTTTTCCGACCTCATTCCTGCACAAATGGTATCAGAGGGGACGTCGAATGCAAACCATGTGCAAATCTCCGAAACCATTTTTTTCGTGAACAGTGCCTTTAAGCTTACGTTACGGAGTTTCGATCTGATGCTCTCCGTCCTAAAACTATTTATCCATTTTGAGCTTAATTCTTCCCTTCAACGGGTCTAGAGGGCTTTCTAGGCTGAGCAACCTGAATAGGAAGTCTTTTTCAATTCGAGAAGTGGGTGAGCAACCCATTCATTTATTTTAACCTGTACCACCATCTCGTATTATCGTATGAGACATTGCAAATTGTCGAGGCCATTCAGCAAATAGGGAAGGGTTCAAGAACTTAGTGGATCTTGCCTTTAAAGGACATGTATCAGCCCCTATCAGCTGTTGTATCTATCACCCGTTATCAGCAATTCAGTTACAACCCACACCACGTAACTCTGCTGTAAGCAGGAAAATAGGGAGGGATCGGTGGAATTTCGCATTTCAACGGCCATTATCAGCTCTTATCGGTTGTCGGCAGAGCGGAGTGTGGTTTAGTGGCAAGTAATGCAGTGTCGTACTGGTCCTGTGATCAAATCCTATATCTACCAAGTCTCTATTACTCCGGGAATAGTTGTTCCATAAGAGCACTATCTTGTATGTACATCAGCCGGCCACCTTAAGTCGTTTCATGGGCCGCATGAAGGTATTTAAAAGGCTACTACGATTTTGAATAGACAAGAAGCCATGGTTCCACTGTTAAGGCAAAGGGCACTACGCACTTATTGTTAGAGTCTATGGCTGGTCTTCTATGGTCATTTATCAGTTGTTATCATTTTTTGCAACACAATCCTACCAAAGCGGCAGCGTTCCACTGTTAGCAAAAACGGCGTGACGGTTTTAGTGGCTATGACTACTTATCAGCCCTCATCATTGTTATGAGTTTCCCATACCAACGATCCGTGATCCCACCTCAGTCCGGTCGTTCAGCGAATTACCAAAATCCTTCCCTTAAGGCAAAGGGCACAACGAATCCTATGGCTTTTTCTTTTGAGGCTCTATGTCAGCTCCTTCCAATTTTTATCTCTTCCTGACCCTCATCATCAGTGTTATCATGCACTTCTGCAAATATGAAGGCTTTAGGTTCAGAGGGGGTAGAATTTGTGAATTTCCTGACGAAAAATCCCACACACACCAACAAATTGACACACCGACAGAAACATCTAGTTAGTTTGACATTGTAGGATAGAAGGATATTGAAGAGGGGATGTTTTAGGCGGTGGAAGAACCGCAGAGCGAGAAAGAGATCAATCAACAGATGGAATTCTATCCTCTAACGAACGAACATGAAGCTCCTATCGAGTAGCTTCGCCTACGTCTTCATTGGACTGACAGCCATGACTCTATCAACTTTGATTTCAATAAAAGTTTCACTTGAAGATGTTGTTTCAATGCAAAGATCTTGAACTGAAAAGAACTGAATTTGAGACCTCATCTCTACTAGTTAAGAAAACGAGGTCACGCTCAAAAGAAGCCACGCAGGGCAATAGCATAAGTAGAGTGAATTGGGATTGATTGAAATGGCGTTGGTCCTGGATAAATCATTAGAGGGATAAAAAATTATGGTTGATGGTGGATTAACTTTTACTACCCTTTTAGTGATTCCCATGAGCTTGAGGTGGGCCATTCGGATAGTAGCGGTCATCCACTTGGGAAGGGGATAGCAGGGGAATCAGCGGGGTACTGGAACCACACGTAGACTTCCAAACTACTCTATGAGTACCTTCCGCTGAATGCTAGAATTCTGATCAGATCTCCGCTCCCTACTTTTGCTACTTCTTATAGGGATAAAGGTTTCTAGTCCCGCTCAGTTCCATTCTGGGATGCTCCTACTCATTTGACTTCAATTCGTAGGTCTATGCTGTGACTTGTTGGGCGATGTACAGGGCAGAGCTTTGATCCTTCCAGGAAAGTCATTACCAGTTCACAGATCCTAAAGACATACAGTAGTGCTCAAAAGTATTCCGCCAACTTTAACCTGCCGTAACTTTTTTGTCAGTGGAGCAAATCGTATGAAATTTTGATATGTTAAGCTGAAGCATATTTCACACTATCCAACACTGTTTGACTGCAAAGCAGCCATATCCACATACTAATGGGGAGGCGTTTGTAG